CAAACCCCAAATCCTAAACCCTAAACATTCCTAAAACCTAAACTCTGAACCCTGAACCCTAAACCCTCAAATCCTTAACCCTAAATCCTTAACCCTAAATCCTAAACCCTGCACCCTAAACCCCTGAATTGACGGCCCAGGAGTGTCGCATTCGTTTTGAAACAACCTCCAGCTTGATACCATTCTGCCTGAACAGCTAAGGTAGGAGTCTGTAGTCCCCCTTAAGTAGATAGAATATGAATATGGGGTATCTTATATAACATACCCAAAGCCATATTCTATCTACTTAAGGGGGACTATAATAAGCCCCTCCCCGTTTTAGGGTTTAGGGTGTAGGGTTTAGGGGTCCCCCTAATGACAAGCTCCAGTAAATTTCCACTATACATGAACTACGGGAAAATATCTGTTAATTAGGATGGGCGGCGGGTGTCATGGATTCTTTCGTCAGAATAGAGCTTTGGGATATGTTACGCTACCTTTCTATGAGGTGTGTAGCACATTGGCGGTCTGGTCGGCTTCTTCTTGAAGGTCGTCTCCAAGAATGTCTTCCAGCAAGAAACGCGCATGCTTGCGGTCTCCGCATATGCATGCAAGGGCTGTTGCACTGCTAGTGCTCAGCAAGTCTTGGCAAGCTCGTAGCTCAAGCAGCAGAAGAACAACTCGATGGTGACCTGCGCTCGCCGCGCAAAGCAGTGCGTCCATTCCAGTTTGGGTTGCCAAACCCATGTCCATGTCCTGCCAGCCACCGAGCAAGGCAGCTACGATTTCCAGATTGCCCTGGCCACATGCCGCAAGCAAAGCCAAAGAAACACTAGGAACTTGGACCATACTTTTGTGAGCCGTTGACAGCAAGTGGACCATGCCCATGTGGCCCTGCTTGGCAGCGCAAGCAAGTGCTGGCCATCCATACGTGGCCGTCAAGCCCTCAAAGTGCTCCAACAGCAACGCCATGAGTTCTGCGTGACCTCGGGCGGCTGTAACTAAAAGCGCTACGGCCCCACACTCGCATTCGTCCCGAAACTCCTCACCCGCAAGTAGCAACCGTACGATTTCCAAGTGATCTCTGCTGCAAGCACACAAAAACGCTGTGAGGCCAGTGTTGCTTGCGATGTTCTGGTCCGCCCTGGCTTGCAACAACAGCCTGACAACTTCCACATGGCCTGCACCAGCTGCCCAGATCAGAGCAGTCATGCCAGTGTTGTCGATCTTGTCGATATCAGCCCTGGCTTGAACCAGAACCTGCACAACTTCCAGATTGTTCCTGTAGGATGCACAAAGCAAAGCTGTTCTGCCGCGGTACTGTGTCTTGTTCATGTCAGCGCCAAGGTCCACCAATAAACGCAAGATCTCCACTTCCGATCTCTCAGCCGCACGCAGCAACGCCGTGGCTTGGTCACCGTCAACCAAGTCTAAATCAGCTCGCACTTCCCCAAGTATACCTGAGTTGTCCATTCACCCGGCCTTTCAAAGTTCAGCCTTTGTGCTTACTTGGGACTAAAAAATACCAACCGAAATTCATATTGGGGTTATATTGGGATAATGGTCCCGAAAATGAAAGCTACTATAGTACATTAGACGTCCCTTTAAAGGGGTTAAATTCAGAGCTACGTACTGGGCAGGTGAGAAGCGCACAATATCCAGGCACCCGCCGCAGGATGCTGCAATCAGAGCTGTCGAGGTGCGAGAATCAGTACCGTCCTTGTTGGGATTATATTGGGGTAGGGTAGATTTTCTCAAGGGTTTAGGGTTTAGGGTTGAGGTTACTTTGGGGTAGGGTTTAGGGTTCAGGGTTTAGGGTTGGGGGTATATTGGGGGTATAGGGACAATGGAAAAGAAAATGGAAGCTACTGTGTTATGATAGGGTATATATTGGGGTATGTATTGGGATTATATACCGTCCTTGTTGGCCCCAGCCGAAAGCAGCAGCTGAATAACTTCGGTATTCCCCTCCTGAGCTGCAGTAACAAGAGGGCACCGAGACCATCCATGGTGGAGACCTACGTTTGGATCTTGCGGCCGCTCAAGTATCTCCTCAATCTTGGCAATGTTCGCCTGTCTAACCGCTTTTTCAAGCTCCTCCTCATGGGCAGGAGACGCATTGCAGAAAGGAAGCAGCACCAGTTGTATGTGTGCAGGGTAGTGCAAGACTTCAAGCCCCATTTCATCATCCAGAACTTCGCCTTCTAGCACCAGTCGCTGCCTGAATCGCGACACATCACAGAAACTCTCCAAAAAGACCTTTAAGGCTTTGACGTTAGTGAGCTCATCCGGGTTCACAGATGCCAGTTTCTGGCCAGACGTCAAGCACACATGTAGCATTTTCCGTCTGGGGCGGCTTTCATAGGGGAGGCTCAAAAAAGTTATTTCAGACCGGGCATACTAAGCGGTACATCAGGTTTGAACACTGCTTTCTCAGCTGGATCGCTCTTGTTCTGGCCATCTGCAGTGCAATCTTCTGTTGTTACTTGGCCAATTTCAGGCCAACAACTGTTAGGAAGGAGTTCAGAAATCCCTAAACCCTGAACCATACACCCTCAACCCTAAGGAGTTCAGAAATTCCTACACCCTAAACCATCCACCCTAAACCCTAAAACCCCAAACAACATTCTGCTTAGGGATCCTGTTCCCTTGTGATGAGGCACTGCTACTGGTCGAGCTGTCTGCTGGAGCCACGTGGCTGGAGACTGTTGCGAATTCACTGCTGACTTGGAATCCGGGTAGGAGTTGTCACGCACAATGATACGGATTGTTCTCAAAATTATGGGCTCCTTTTGGTTATAGTTCATATTACGGCACCTAGTATTTAGGGGTGCCAAAATGGGACCCTAATTTGGGAACTACCCGTACAGCCCCAAGTCCCAAAACCCAGGAGAGAGTCCACTGAAGACACCTTAGACCAGATGAGGAATCCTAGTATCATGCGGGGTGTGTTCCTTAAGTGTTCTGGGCTCTCTGGGAAGCCTAGAAACATGACCAGCTTCCTCAACCCAGAGGGAAGCTACTCCAGTCCTCAATCGCTACGCTGTGAAGTCGCATCGACACGCTGATGTCCGACCTCGATGGCTACAACAGTCTTACGGGTTGGGCTTAGGGTTAGGGTTAAGGGTTTAGGGGTATGCCCTAAATTCTAAACCCTAAACCTGGGGGTTTTGGGCTGACGGTTGGGGGTAGCATCTCCTATCATGATGAGGAGACGGTTTCCGAAGACAGTAGCTTAGTTGTCTCAAGTTCACACATTTTCCAGGGTTTAGGGTTTAGGGTTTGCTTGGCCGCCCACAAAACACCCTGAATTGACAGGAACACTATGGCAGGAGTCAACATAGGGTCTCAGGATTTAGGGTTTGGGGTTTTGGATTTCTTGACTAAAGCAGGAGTCAGCATAACGTACTTATAGTCCCCTGTAAGTAGAGAAAATATGGCTTTGTGTTTATTATAATAAGACCCCCCATACACCCCATTTTCTGTCTACTTAAGGGAGATTATAACCCTAAACCCTAAACCCTAATCCATATATTCTACCTACATAAGGGGGACTACACCCTAAAACCTAAACCCTACATTCTACCTACATAAGGGGGACTATACCCTAAAACCTAAACCCTACATTCTACCTACATAAGGGGGACTATACCCTAAAACCTATAAACCCTACATTCTATCTACTT